GCCATCGCTACTAGGTTGGAGGCCATCGCTATTTGGTTGGAGGCCATTGCCAGGGTGCCTAAGAACACTTGGAACAAACGAACGCCGAGATTCCGGAGTCCAAATGCATGCTGGGTTGTGGAGACTCATCAACAGCACCAGGGGGCAGCACAGGTGAATATGGCACGTCAGCGCCGATCCTCTGCGTCATGGCGGCAAACTGAGCAGTTCTAGATGTCCAGGAATTAGATTTGTGAGCCATTCTGAGCCTCATATTCCGAGGTGGCTGCTTGTACAATAGGATGTTGCACCTGTCCTTGGACAAGTAAGTAGGCCTTAGATTGGCTTAAATCGCTGTAATCACCGTATATGTTCGGGACTGCTAGATGTAGCACTGTGACATGGATCCTCTACCGTGTATATATATATATACAACCTGAGCAGGGCCAAACCAATGCGAAGAAGCCAGGGAGTCCAACCTCAGCACAAGAGTTGCCTTCAACAGACTAGTCACTAGTTTTCATGGGTGTGCTTCAAACGAATTGCACATGGGTGTGGGGTGTCGGGTGTGATGTAGAGGGGATAGTCATCCGAGCATGGCGTTTCGCCAACTCGCGAATGAGACGATTCCCAGATTTGCTTTGTGCTCATTTGGAACATTCACAGGTTCAGCTATCCGGAGCTTCTGGTGAGCACACAGGATCGCTAAGTGGGCTTATGCCACAATTTCAGTAAGTGAAGCCTCTTGTGGAGGCTTGAGAGGCTGTCTGAAGAGGGTTGTCTTGGGAAGCCTCTTCACCATGCTTGCATGATGCTCTGTGCAAAGATAAGGTGTGAATGTGGGCATCAAAAAGAAGTCCCAACCTTTGCCATGCACATGGCAAACTGCAAAGTTTGCAGAGTGAGAAATCTCCTGGATAAAAGTCCAAAACGCCTTCTTCTTTACAAGGCAACAACTAAATATACTGCAAGCGACGCTCACCAACGTCGGGCCAAAAACGAATGATGCACTAAGGCAAATGTTCCAATCGGATTCATTGGTGTATCAATTTGATGGATGCATGCTGCGTATTGCATCATATTGTGCACTGCTATTCGCTCTTGACCGAGTCCTGGTCGCTGAAGTCCACGTTCTCCAAAGGAAAGGAAGGAACGTGGAGGTTAGAAGTTTACAGTCATGGACTTAGCGGACTGAACACACTGGACTAGCGCGTTGCGCTCTGCCACAGGGCTTGAGCCAATGCCCTTCCCTGGTCCTCAGCTAGTAGTTCCTGTAGTGTCCTTTCTGCTTTTCCCAAATCTTGCCACCTGCGTGGTACGCCTTCTTGGAGGAAGCTGCGCATGATATTTATAAGCTGCACAAACTTTTGCAACTCTGGAGAGTCCGGCGCAAGTGAAGTGAGGGCGGCCTCGTCTGCGTCGAAAGCAATAAATAAGCGGTTCCCCCACACAGACAACTGTGGCGGTGCTCGCACAAAGTTCTGTACCCAAGCAAAGGCAAGCAATTCCACCACTGAACCACCTATTCGCCGCTGAAGCACATCAGAGAATCCCTCGAGGAATCGAGCCCATTCTCTGATGGTTGCAGGTGGTAGAATACCTGCGTTGCCAGCATTTTTGCGAAGCAAAGTATCGAAGCTCTCAATCTTCAGTGCGTGGCGCCGATGGTGATGATGAATGATGGCCAAAGCAGAGGTTAGCGAAGAAGCCTGCCACTATTTTCTTCCGGCGTTTAGTTTAAGACCTTTCAATTACTGTTATTTTGATTGCTTTGCGTAGGAGTCACCGTCTGTCACAATATGTCAAAAGTCAACCATCTCTGAGGGGACACAGTCCAAACCCGGCTCACGTGGTTTGTACTGGACACCTGATACCTTTAACTGTTGAGAAGGCTTCTCAAAATCTGTACACTGTACTATAGTGTGTATATATACTGTACAGTGTATGTACGAAAGTGGTCGATAATTAGCAAATACATAAGCTAAACACATGACTACTAAAAATCGTTTTGCATCAACAGAAGGCGAAGTCGCTAGTTTGCAAGGAAAGTCTTGCAGGATTGAAGCACCCACCTCTGATTCAAAGGCAGCAGCGAAAGCATGAAGAACCTGCATTCTGACAATGCCTCCAAAAGTAAGTGATTCATAAATAACATCTGGGATTATTTTGGGTATATATTCCTTGCAACAGTGGATGATGATGGTTCGTAAAGGCCTTTCACTAAAATAGTGATAGTGATAATTGTCTTTACCGACTGTTAAAGCCCCCAAATAACATTGGTTGGCTTCATACATGTATGAAGTGTTTTATATGATATGCGAATAACTGCGAACGGATGAAAAGTGTGCCCTGGCCCCGTTCTAGCCCTTAGTTCAACATGAAGCTCGCGCGCTAAAGCTCCTTTTTACCTGGTTGGGCACTTGAGCCAAAAGTATATGGCATGTACCTGTATAGCAACTATACTGGGACCTCGTCCCTATTGACACCCCCCACATCCGTGCTTCGACGGGGAAGGGAGATGAGTGGATGTTAAAAAAACCGGAGAACGAATCACGTTCTCAAAAGTGTATTGGAGGTCAACCAGTATGTCCTATTGAACTGAATTAGCAAACGATCTTGCATTCGCTTGAAAGTTGGATCAAACAGGCAATGGAGCTACAAGCGGAAAACGTGCACCTACCTATGGTATCATGCGATTACCAATGGTGTGAAACACAATCCTCTCTCACTCCCATGACGCCAAAACGGTCATCATGAATTACCCAAGACCCCTCAGTACTTGAAGTACCGGAAGTGGCATGTCGGTATGACCCCAATGCTCAACCATTCGTGATTTGTCGCATGTAGTCAGCGCCGACAAAGCCAATGTAGTCCTTGATGAGCTCAACGTTCCTTGGGTTTCCCCTTCGGATCTGCTCCTCGAAGGACTTCAATTTCCTTTCCTGGACGTCGGATACCTCTATGCCATAGTAGCGGCATGCAACGAGGATCTCCTTCGTGACATTCCTCCTCTCCAATTTGATGGCAGGACTAATGTCGATGAATTTATATGGAGCGGCACTTTCGTCATCTGGTTTCTGGTAGTAACTATATCTGCTCGCCCCGAAGGTCTTCTTGATCAAGCGTCTGATGAAATTTGAGATGAACGCCAGTTTCTCGATGATCTCATCCTGGGTCTCAGACTTTCGAGCCTTTGGATCACTCATGTCACGCCGAGTGCTGCCGACCTCTTTGAGGTATTTGTGGCTAAGCCCGCAGCGAATTGCAGTGATCATCATCGGGTGAACAATGTGGGCGTGGAATTCATAGATCTGCCACGCTTCTGCTGCATACGCGTCGTCGGTCCATCTGCTCACGCCTACGACCTCGGCTCTCTGGAGACGTCTTGGAAACCCAGTATCCGGATCATTCGGTACTATCGGCCATCTATTGTGCGGAGTATCATGCCGCTGCCCGTCGTCGAACATCCGCAATACATCTTCACGACTTTCAAAGCAGTTGATGTCGAATGTTGCGTTGGCCAAGCTCTTGATCAACTTCATCAACCTCAGATCAAATTGCTGCGTGACGGCAAAGTTGTGGTCGATGGGGATCGCAGCTTCTTGCGGCAATTCGTCAATTGCGAAGGGGAAAGGCTGTGGAAGTTCATTCCCGTATCCATCTTGAGGGACCTCCCGATATTCGGGTTCGCCTCCAGCTTCGTCCGGCCGTTCCTTCAAAATGATAGGAACTTCCTCCTCTTCCTCTCCTTCGGATTCCTCGACCTCAATGGCCTCTTCGGCTGTCTTGCGTGCGTTCTTGATGACTTCATCGATGTTTGCACCTGCGGCAGAAGTTGTTTCACCGGAAGAACTGGCTGGGACATCTTTCGGAGGTGATCGTCGATTGCGGTCCCTTGTCTCCTTGGGTACCACATGCGTGAGCTTCCCATTTGCGATCAAAACCGCTACGCAGTGCGGACATATCGTCAATCGCACATCGACTTCGCCAAGACAGTTAGGACACGGTCTTGAGTCATAATCCTTCATTGCCCGGCGGTACACGATCTCCTCGAAGATTTCCTGCCACTCGGTGCTATCATATTCTGGGTAGACACCACTCTCCTCGACCATGCCCAACAGCTTAGAGATTTTGGCGTCGTCCTCGGAGTAGGTATCGTCCTGAACCTCAACCGCTAAACTTTCAAGCTTTTGGTAGCGTGGAGTCATGATCGGGTTTCCGTATTTGGACTCCAGAACAAGGTAGCTTCCAGGGTCGGGTTCTCTATTGAGTAACCGGATCCATTCGATCTCCTCAGGCTGTCCGGGTTCCGCATTGTCGCATTGCAACCATGCCCCTTTAACCTCATCGAAGGGAACGACGTTCTCAACCAATAGAGAGCCAGTCGCTGAGATGAGAAGTCCGTACTCCTGCAGCTTCCACACCGGAATGTAGAGAACCACTGGGCGATCACTCAATGCGACCTTACGACCTAGCCAAGGTTTTCCCTTGTAGCCCTGTTCCCAGGCCCATGGCGGAAAACATGTGAAGTGGGTAGAATCTCTTCCCGATGAACCGAGACCTCCTGGCACTAGCCCTCGTCGCATGATTGAAGTCAGCGCTCCAAGATTGGTAGCGTGAAATGCAGTCACCATAGATAGGGCCATGTCGTTGGTCATTCTCGATCCAATGTGGTCGATGTTAATGGTAACGTCATAACCTCCGCCGTCCGTTGAGTGTGCCGAGGTTGCTCTTACGGCCACGGGAAAGCACCATCCATCGCTATGGTGGAGTCTTCCTTTAGAGATTCCCATGCCCTTGAGTTCGTCAATCCATTCCTTCTCCATCGGGTCATCAGGGTCATTGAGTTCGTCAGGGTGAACGCGGACTGCCAGCATTTGGAATCTGACCCTCTTGGTTATGCGGAAACACTCATAGTTCTGGTCGAAGTACTTTTCCAAACGCGCCTTCTTGGTCACGATGTCTATGTTGCCATATTGATAACCGTCTTCCCAAACTGCGTTATCACCTAACAGGTCTTCCCATGACACCCATGCGCCTTCATCGCATTTGATTGGTGTGAGTCTTCCTCCTGTCCTGAACTGGCGTCCAATTCGATGTCTCAACTTCGCTCCCAATCGACGACTCAGGGCCTGGCTCGCTTGGCTGTATTCAGGTACTCGACAGTCTGGAGTCGGATACTTGTGGTTGCCGTAGTCGGAGTTCTGTGCAGCGAAAGTGACTCCGTTGAACGGTACTAATTCTACCTTCCCGATCATCGTCATGGGGTCGATCGGCTTGTATCCCTTCTCCCTCCGTGTTGGTAGGGGATAGAAGTGATGACATGCCTTTGGTGTGAGGGAACTGGAGTGCACAAATGCCTTCTCGACAAATTCGTGCACCACCTTCGTATCCCTAGGGCCTGCTTCCGCAAGCTTCCGCCCGTTGTAGGAATGCGTCCCTCCTTCGACTCCATCAGCACTTTCGATCAAGGTGAATCCGTCATGATCGAACATTGTCACGACTCTTGCTTTCAACATCTCTTTTCGCCTGAACTCGCTGTCGACCTTCCTATCTGGAGTAGGCGATGCTCTCTGCTTCTTCTTCTTAGGCTCTTCGGTCGGATGTCCAGATGGTACATCGTCGGGCGCAACCTCTCCCTTCACTCTCTTCTTCCAATCACTCAACACTGAGGTGACTGTAGGTGAAGATGAAGGGGTCTTTTCGCAATTGAGAGTTGTGTGTCCCGACTTCATGCAGTGGATGCAGAATTCTGCTTGCCCGATCTTCTCCTCGAATTCGTCGATGGCTTGCAATATTGATGTCTTCGGGTCGGACATGTCAACGTCTTGCTCCTCCTTATCCTGTTCACATTCAGTCTCCATATCGACACCTTCGGCCTCGGGCTGATCAGTAGCCTCCGCTCCCTGTTCTGGTTCTTTCCCAATTTCGAAGAAGTGGTCGATGTCGAATTCAGGAGGCGGCATGGTCCTCATGCGAACGAGAATCAGTGCCACGTTTGCCGCCTCATCAGAGTGCGGGTCCAAGGTTCTGATTGTCGATCGCTTTCGGTTCTCATACGTTGTCCTGTCGTACAGCGATGCAGTGACACGTTTGATGGATTCTTCTAATCCCGTCCTCAAAGCTTCGATGTCACCCCATCCCAAGAACAGGTGTCTGAAGAGTTGAGCAATTTCTAACATGCCCAGCAGCGCTTCCACCATATCACCTACCCGTTCCTCCGTGGGATCATCTCCGAATATATTGCGGAATACATCGGGCTCCAGTATGGTCTTGAGGTATTTGGTGTAGCACACGTTGCCAAGGTCATAGGATCCCTGGTAGTACTTGGCGCTGCCGACTATCTGCTTTTCCACATGGATGCTGGGCCCTCTCCTCGTTTTGAAGAAGTTCTCCGTCATAGTTGATGACAACCTGATCCCCCCAAAGAACGAGATCTCCTTCTGGAAACCTGGATTCTCATTAAGTATGATCATCGCCTCGTGTAAGAACCTCATCAGGTCTTCGTGCGGGTTCATCTCGGAGATCATGACGGTGAGAGAGGATACCGTTTGCCCCACGCCGAAGTTGTGAAGCAATCGCGCACATGCGTGGAATCGCTTCTGGACGTAGTCTTCTGCGGACATCCCACGGCATCTATTTGCTGCTCCGTTGATGCATTCTGCATAGCAATCGTCTTTCAAATCGGAGTCTATAGGATTGCAGACCAGACAGTAATCGCAGCAAATTTCCTCACCCTCCTTGAAGTCATCAATGACGTACCATCTTTGAGTCCTCGAGTATACTGGTTCTGGTTGAAGGACTCCCCAGCACTCATCCATCCATGGCATTTTGTTCTCTCTCCTTCCTCCGCTCAGACTCATTCTCACCTGAAGGCCCCGCAGTGGACTGATATGCGTGGCTTCCTCTTACGGAATCTCCGAATAAGTACTGATACAACCTCTCTTTGTCCTGCAACACGTGTTCCAAGTTGGGATCATGGAGGCTATTCGCTTCGGTCAAGGGATCCGGTGCCATAAAGCAAGAAGCGAGCATCTTTTCTCTGAACAAATACTTTTCCATGACAGCGTGGACCAAAGAGGTTCCAGACTTCATAGAGTAGGGGTGA